TCGCTAGTACTAAAACCCTTTCTGAATCCCGATTGTTCTCTTGCTTGGTATCCGTCAAGCTTAGTTGTTAGTCTATTTGTCATGATCTTCGTTAGTAGTTTAAATACAACACTTAGTAATGTTATAGGTCTATAGTTTTCTAAGTTCTTTCGGTCACCTTTTTTGAACATTAATAGTGTCTCCGCATCGTTCCAGCTATCGGATATTTCTTTTATGGTTAATATTTTATTCATAAGGATATGTAGGACTTCTCTAGTTGTTTTCCCTCCTCTCTTCAGCATATCTGCAGTTATTCCATCTTTTCCAGGTGACTTATGGTTTTTTAATTCTTGAGTTGCTGTCTTGATTTCTGTTTTACTTATTTCTGATTGTAGGTCAGAGTTTAATTGTTTAAGAATTTCTTGCTGTGGTTTATGTCTTGTTTTGTATAGGTGCGTATAGTATTCTTGTGTCAACTTTATTATTTGTTTCATATCATGAATGGTTGTTTCTTCGCTGTTTGTCATTTCATTTATCTGAGTTTTACCTAGTCGTTGTTTTAAGCATTTCATATTTTTGTTCTGCTGAATTACTCTTTCAATCTTTGCTTCCTGCGTTTTTCTCTTGGTTTCTTTTATGTTTTTTCTAATTGTTTTATTGATTTCAGTATATTCTACTGTGTTTCTTTTGCCCTTTTCAAGTAGGCTTCTTCTTGTCTTCATCAGGTTTTCTACTTCTTCTGAGATATAATTTGTCCTTTTTTGATATTGAAAGCGACGGGGAACAGCAGAACATTTAACAAACTGCAGTGAAACTGTCAATCTATAAAAAAATATAAACCTAGTTTATGTTTGTTGTGTTTGCAAATATTTTTGATGTCATTCTGCTTAATGAAACATGGCTTTCTAAAAATAAAAAATTTGGTTTAACAGGTTACAATGTCATCAGAAGCGATAGACCTGATGATTGCGGTGGTGTAACCATCCTCATATCAAATAACCTTTCAACCTTTGTTTTACTGAAATTAATGTAACGAAAAACTTTAATAAAGCTATTGAAATGTGTGCAGTTTTTATAGAACAAATTAAATTGCTAACCGTTTGTATTTATAAACCACCCAAAGTAGTAGTCAATTATAGAGATTGGGAAAAACTTTTAACTCAATTTAGTGGTAGGGTTGTCATTGGTGGGAACTTCAATGGACACCACAGTAGGTGGGGTGCTTTGAAGGATTCCACTCAGAGCAAGTGTATAGTAGATACGCTAGATAACAGTAATTTACTGGGATTGGTTACGTACCAGGGTGCGTCAACAATTGCTCGGAGAGTCAAGCAGATATAACGGCTATGGAAGCGCACAAAGTCGGCTCTAAGTTGGTTCTTAAGTGCATGAGAGAACTTTCTGATATTGAGCTGACCAATAGTGTTAACTTGGTATGGGTATTAGAACACAGGCGTGGAAGTGAACAAAGGGGCTGACAACCTAGTAAGACGGGGATCATCCACTCTGCCAAATCTGTGATTAAAGTGTTCTTCAGTACTGGTAGTCTCAAACAAGTTCTGCGGAGGTTACAGGACTCCTGGTTTAGTTGTGGAAATATGAGACAGGCTAGGCTCCATATAGTGAGGCCATCCAAAAGTCTTGCAGCTCAACTTCTCCAGAGTAGCTGATGCTCTCTGCTGGTCAGTATGCTTAATGGCCACTGGGCACCTTCATCTGCTTGGATTGGCGGATAACCCAGTACCATTTTGTAATGAGGAGAAAAAAAACCTCCTCACATGTCCACTGGAAGTAGCACTGGCCTATCAGAGGTGGCAGATCCTGAGTTGGTCCTTATGCAACCGAGTCAAATGAGGGAGTTACCGTTAAAGAAATTTGCGGCTTTTTATGAGGCCGCAAGGTTACTAAAGAATTTTGACTTTTGGAATGACAGGGAGGGCTCAGATTTGGGGTCTTTCCTGATTATAGCAGATATGTGAGCCAGGAACAGCATGGATTTCTAAAATGCCAAAGACTAGGAACTTATGGGCCTACTTCGTATAATAGGTGTGATACAATGGACCCACCTTAGGAGGTCTGTCTTTGAAGGGTTCATAAATGAACTCTACCTTGATCTACTATGATCATAAGTTTCCATGATATAAGAATTATCAACTTGACTATTAAACTGAGTGACTGTTAAATAGAAATATACCGGGTGGTCCAATAAGCCGATCTCTCTACTATATATCAGAAACTATTCATGTTATAATTTTGGGAGAAAAAATTATTTAGTAAAAGTGGCCAAGAGAAATCGCTGGAAATAACTTTCAAGTTTCTAGGTTAACCGCTAGGGGGCGTAACCTGTGAAGAAAACTTTGAAAACCAGTTTTTTGGGAAATATGCCCAATTATATATATATATATATATATATATATATATATTATATATATATATAGTTTGTATAATTGGACATATTTCCAAAAAGACTGGTTTTCAAAGTTTTCTTCACATGTTACGCCCCCTAGCGGTTAACCAAGAAACTTAAAAATAATTTCCAGCCATTTCTCTTGGACACTTTTACTAAGGAATTTTTTCTCCTACTGTTATAACATGAATAATTTCTGATATATAGCCGAGAGAACGGCTTATTGGACCACCCGGTACATTGTCATTTAAATGAGAAACTGTTATAGATAACAAAGCGAATATATCACGGTATAAGATAACAAATAAAAATATGTGGCCAAAGGACAGGCTTCTAAGCCATCTTTTCACAAAAACACATACACGCACAAAAGCCAAACGACAAGCAAGAAAAAAATGGTAAGCCAAATAAGGAGGAATAGAATAAATCCGCAAAATATTAAGGGTTAAAACTTTGCTTTAGATGAAGAATATAGCACGAGACCGGAATTCGTAAATGATACAGCTATATATATACGACCTTGTATATATATATATATATATATATATATAATATATATATATATATATATATATATATATATATATATATATAGTCCCAAGATTCCTAAGAGGAACATAGGGCTTCCACAAAGTGTCTCCAGCGAACTCTATTTCTGGCTAGTGCTTTGATTTCAAGCCAGGATTTTCCCATTTTTCTCCCTTCTTCCAGTACTGTCCTTCTCCAAGTTCCCTTAGGTCTGCCTACTTTCCGTCGGCCTTGGGGATTCCAATCCAGCGCTGTCCTGGCAATGTCATTTGGTGGTCTACGGAGTGTGTGGCCCAGCCATCTCCATTTTCTTCGCCTTATTTGCTTTATGACATTTTCTTGGTTGCTTTGGTTCCATAAATTTTCATTGGAGATTCGGTTAGGCCAAAATATACGAAGGATTTTTCGTAACGCTCTATTGATGAAAACTTGTAATTGGTGTACTATGGGTGCTGATATCTTCCACGTTTCGCAGCCATACAGTAATACAGCTTTTACATTTGTGTTGAAGATTTTTAGTTTCGTTTTAGTTGGTTAAATTCTGGATTTCCATATGTTGTTAAGCATGTTGTAGGCGTTGCGAGCCTTATTTATTCTTTCATGTACATCACGCTCTGTACCCCCATTACAGTCAATTATGCTGCCCAGATATACAAATTCCGCTACTCTCTCAATTTTCTGGTCGTTGATCATAATAGGTTGGTTGTTTACCAAATCGCATTTCTTTGGTTTTGTTGATGTTTATTTCTAGACCAACCTTCTTTGATTCTTCTTGTACTTTGTTTACTTGGAGTTGCATGTCCTGTTTTGTATGTGCTAGGAGGCATATATCATCAGCGTAATCTAGGTCTTCCAGTCTGTTTGTTAATCCCCAGTAAATTCCTCTATTAGAGTTTACCTTTGTTAGTACGGAGTCCAGTACAATGTTAAATAGTATAGGGGATAAAACACAGCCCTGCTTAACTCCGTTTAGCATAGCTATTGTGTCCCGTTGTGTCCGTTTAGCATATTCTGTGTCCCTGTAGAGTTCTTTGATGAGATTTACTATTTTTTCTGGTATTCCTATTTCCTGCAGTGCTTTCCATATGGCCGTATGTGTGAGCGTGTCAAAAGCTCTCTTGAAGTCCACAAAGCACACAAAGAGAGGAGAGTTGAATTCCTGTGACTGTTCTACAATTATTCTTAGTGTGTTAATTTGGTCCACGCATGATCTGTTTGGTCTGAAACCTTCTTGTTCCTTCGTCAACATTGGTTCTACACTGTTTGTTAGTCGGTTGTTTATAATTATTGCTGTTAATTTATTTATAGTATTCAGAAGTGTGATTCCTCTCCAGTTTTCGCAATATCTTCTGTCACCCTTTTTTGGTATCTTTATTATTAATCCCGTTTTCCATTCTTTGGGGAACTTTTCCTCTCTCCAAGCCCTTTTCAAGAGTGGTTGGATTAGCTCTGCCACTGTACCTGGGCAGGCAAATGATACAGGTAAAAGATAGTTATACTTGTCTTATGTTTGTTATTATAAAATAATATACTTTTATTCTTTTTAAGTTTTACTTGAAATCTTACATATTACAATGTGCTTAACCTATGTTCGTTAAATGACCTGAAGTTGGTCATGGTCTTCTTGAAGCTGTCATAGTCATATGCTTAGAACATAAAAGTAGTTCCAAGGCCATATGAGACAATACTTCAGCAATATCCGACGATCTTATAGAACATAAGGAATGCCAGAAAAAGAAGGTACTGTATACTAAATGAAAAAAGGAATTGGGAATTATTGTAGGCTGAAAATATGATTTATTATTCATATTTTTAGCCAACTCTCCAAATTTTATAGCTGGAAACTTAAAATAATTAAACAATGATATCGATGATTTAACAATTATTGATAACAATGATCATCAATCATACATTTTATAATCCAATAAAATTAAATTTATATTAAACATAAAAATTATGTTTCAATATATTTTTCTAGTTCTTATTGTTTTGTATTCAAATGTGGGTGTTATTATGATTAAGTAATTCATTAAAGGACTGTATAAATATGGACCAATGTAAATAAATTTCAATTAATATTGAACCAGTTAAAAGAGTCAGTGGTTCATCAAAAGAAAATATGTTTAAATATTTTTTATTTTTCGTATTAATTTCTGTTGCTTTTGCTCATTTTACATATTTGTCCGACGATGAAGAGTTTGAGCTTTTTAAGGTGAGTTTAGATTTTTCATTAATATTTTAAATTTTATTGTACTTGTTTTATATATTTTACTTTTATACAATCTAATAGATTTAACATATGTAATGGCGAATTAATAATTTTTAATGACAGAATTACAAAACAGAACACTTATATCCCATCTTCAACTAGATAATTTAATTCAGATTTTTTATTTATATTCCAAGTAAAGATTTGTAATTGGTTCTATTTGGACACTAACTAAATTTGATAATTCAATCAAAGAAAAATTAACATGAGCGAGGATTACCTGTTAGTTCTGATACCTTTCTAAAGATTCTTACATTATAAACAATTTACTTATTAAATATATCTGGTAAGTACAAGAGTTTGTATCTCTTAGGTCCTCTCACTTCTCTGCTGTTGTCCAGTGTGTTTACCGCACCAGAATTTGAATGAACTTAACCGCTTTAAATTCAAAACACAACACTTTTTTATTTCCTTGCACTCACTGACAGATCACGATTTATGACTTCGTCAGGGATTTAGTATGTTGCAATATTAATCTGCTAATTTTCAGTGGATCGCAAATTGAAACCTCTGCAGGATTCCAATACTGCATTTGAATGCCAGACCAGAGGTCCAGACGGAAATTACTTTATACACAAATAGTTTATTTTTAGTGGTAGTTTAGATCTTCTTCCAAGTAGCCAGTACAGTTATTTAAATTTTAATCCAAGTTGTTTTCGTTTATTGAAAATATGGTTTCTCCAAATACGTCGGTATATCGGACTGTGGCATATTTTCATTTAGGTCCTGATGAGGGTGACAGTCTATCACCGAAAATTTCACATTTAGAATTAAGTTAATCACCAAAAGGGCTTACACCATCTTTAGCCAATCCTTCACCTGACGCTTTCCTGAATGTTACAAACGAAAGTTACCTGCTAAAGAAGTGTATTCTTAACGTCTTTATATATACTATTATTAATATTATCCGTATATATCCGAGTTAATATTTATCCGTATTTTTTAATATTTTTAGAAAAAATTCGACAGACACTATTCTTCTCCCCTTGAAGAAAAGTTACGTAAACAAATATTCATCGATACTTTAAGGGAAATCAAAGAACACAACGCCAGATATGAAAAAGGGTTAGTGTCTTGGTACAAGGGTATTAACCAGTTTTCTGATTGGACCGATGAGGAATTTGAGAAAATACAAGGATTGAAAACTCCTCCACCAAGAGAATACTACTACTAGAATGTGAAAATATGTATTTTAATATATATATATATATATATATATATATATATATATATATATATATATATATTCACAAATATTTGTTTGAACAATAAAAACGTCGCCTTTAACTTTTGTAGCAATATTTGAATTACCCAAAATACTGAATTTCTATATAAATCAGTCTAAATTATTACCATACAAAAATAATTAGTATAAATAAACTTTGCTTTAGATGAAAAATATAGCACGAGACCGGAATTCGTAAATGATACAGGTAAAAGATAGTTATACTTGTCTTATGTTTGTTATTATAAAATAATATACTTTTATTCTTTTTAAGTTTTACTTGAAATCTTACAATGTGCTTAACCTATGTTCGTTAAGTGACCTGAAGTTGGTCATGGTCTTCTTGAAGCTGTCATAGTCATATGCATAAAAGTAGTTCCAAGGCCATATGAGACATCTTCCCATTATACACTTTTTTATCAAAACTACAACTGAGAAACAAAAATAACTATTCTGACTATGCTCTAGGAATACATCTATGAAAGCTATGTCTAACTTATAACTAATCTTTATACCTAGCTGGTTTTACAACAGCAACAGCTCTACCAGACCTTGTAACTGTCTTACTATGAATACCTAAATTCAGGTTACTGTTTCAATTCAAGTTACTAGACACAATTTTGGTTGAAACAGTTGGTTCATTTGAACAAATCTTAGGCTTAAAGTTATTATTGTTATTATTATTAATATTTAACCTTGTTTGTGAGGAGCTAGGTTCAGACCTAATGAGTGGAGACATATATTCTTTCTGAATGGGAGGACATTCATTTGGTGATGGTCTTAAAAATGAAGTATTTCGTCTCGTTACCCTGCCAAAGTTATCCCGAACCATATACTACCTAGGAGCATCACATTTTCCTACAATTTCCCCTGGTATCCAGTTTTTCTCCTTTTCTAACCTGATTCTTACACTATCACCTACCTTAAATTCTGACCTACCTTTCGAACTTTGATCGTAATGAATCTTATCCTTGTTCCTTTTTTCAGCTAGTTTATGTGACTCACTATTCAAGGATGGTTCCAAATGTTTACCTGAAAGGGGAAGGATACTACGCAACTGTTTCTTAAAAATTAATTCTACAGGCGAAATATTGCACCCTGCTAAAAGAGTGTTCCTATATTCTAATAACGCCTTAAAAAACTTCTGTAATTGATTTTAGACTTTTTCTCAAAATAATTTTACATATATCTACTGCCCTTTCTGCAAGACCATTAGATTTTGGATATAACGGACTAAAACTGTGACATTCGGCACTATTAAATGGTATATTGTCAGCAATGAAAATCATAGGTATACCAAAAGTTGAAAATATTTGTTTTAATTTATAAATCACATCGCCAGAGGTTTTAGACTCGTTTTAGACTTTTAACTTTTCTAGCTCAATCCAATTCGTGTAGTAATCCACTACTACCAAATAATCTACATATACCACCAAAAGTTAAAATATCACATCCAACTTTATGAAAAGGTATGTTAGGCCTATCATGTGGAAGTAAAGGTTCTTTGGTTGGTTTCCGTGAAACTTTAAGACAAATATACATTTTGAAATATAATTTTCAATATCTGTGGTCATACCTAACCAGTAAAAAATTTTCCTGGCTCTTGACTTAGTTTTTTCCATTCCGAAGTGTGCAATATGTAATTTATGAAGCATAAGGCTTTGTAAACTTTTGGGAACCACTAGTCTGTCATCATAAAATATTAAGTTATTTTTTTCATATAAATCATTTTAATTTTTAAAAAATGTTTTTAATTCAGAATTAAAATTTTGAGAATTTTGTGGCCAACCATTACTTAGAAAGTTTTTAACTCTAGACAAAGTTGGGTCATTTTTAGTTGCAATCTGTAGTTCTCTTAATCTCTCTTCAGATATGGGCAAATCTATCTCGAGAGAATGTACTGTTACCAACAGTTCTTTATCATCTCTACTCTTGGTTTGTATGAATGACCTAGAGAGTAAGTCTGCTATATACATATGCTTCCCAGGTAAATACTTTACCTCCAAATCATAGTTAAGAAGTTTTAATTTTAAACGGCAAATTAATAAAGGCAAGAACGGTCTTTAACAAAATGAGCGCCATCTTCAAAAGTCACAATATATCCCTGGATACAAAAATGAGACATTTGAGATGCTATGTTTTCTCTGTGTTGTTGTACGGGGCGGAGGCATGGACGCTTACAGACACCATTATTAAAAAAACTTGAAGCATTTGAGATGTGGCTTTATAGAAGAATGCTGAGAATATCATGGAGAGCAAGGATCACGAACAAGGAAGTTCTAGGAAAAATGAGGAAGGAACCAGAGATTCTGTTTACAATCAAACGCATAAAATTGCAATATCTGGGACACGTTATGAGAAATGAGCACCGTTACTCCCTGCTACAGTCTATATTGCAAGGTAAAGTCAAAGGTAAGCGAGGACCCGGTAGAAGGAGAATGGGGGAGGATGAAGGAGATCATGGCTGCGGAATTTAAGAACATGGTTTAAGAAAACCTCAACGGAGCTGTTTCGAGCCGCAGCGAGCAAGGTTATGATTGCCAATATGATTTCCAACATCCGAAACGGATAGGAACCAGAAGAAGAAGAAGAATTTTAAACGTTGCAGTCTACCACTAACTTTATAAAAGTCTTTTTTACAAATTGAGAGTAGCGGCAAATGATCAGTTTTTATTATAATTTTCCTTCCATATACATAATTATGAAACTTAGACAGTGAAAAACAAATTGATAGAATCACTTTATCTATTTGTGGATATCTAAGTTTCTGTTTCAGTTAAACTACGTGAGCAAACGGCAACTGGCTGTCCCTGTTGTAAAAGGCACCCGCCAATTCCGAATTGACTCGCATCAGACTGTATTTCAATAAACTTTGATGGTACACAAGGCAAATATTGAACACAGTATTTAATCAAATCTTGCCCAAGTACTTTCGATCACAAGATCATCTTCAGGGCATTTCGTCAGTTGTGGTCTATCCAGCAGTAACAGAATGTCATAAAAGTAAATTAGGACATAACAAATACACTAAACAAAGACAAACAAACACTTTAAAATTTAAAATTGGAGAAGCTACATTTTATATAGAAGCCGGAGACAGAATGTCATTCTGTCCACATTTGAAACATTTGTACACATCAACACTCTGTCTATTACTACTCTGGCCCATTGATTTCTTGTTACTATATCTTACAAAATCCACTTCCTTGTCATTTCTTATTTCTTTTAGTAAGTTACTCTCCATATTAAGATTTTTATTTATCATCTATTTAATTACCTGACACCATGTCTTATGGTTGTTATTATGAAATAATATACCTTTATTCTTTTTAAGTTTTATTAGAAATCTTAGATATTACCAGAGATATGTAAGAGATATCTCTCTTACATATCTCTGGATATTACAATGTGCTTAACCTATGTTCGTTAAATGACCTGAAGTTGGTCATGGTCTTCTTGAAGCTGTCATAGTCATATGCTTAGAACATAAAAGTAGTTCCAAGGCCATATGAGACAATACTTCAGCAATATCCGACGATCTTATAGAACATAAGGAATGCCAGAAAAAGAAGGTACTGTATACTAAATGACAAAAGGAATTTTGAATTATAGGCTGAAAATATGATTTATTATTCATATTTTTAGCCAACTCTCTAAATTTAATAGTTTAATAATAGTAATTTATAGCTGGAAACTTAAAATAATTAAAGAATGATATCGATGATTTAACAATTATTGATAACAATGATCATCAATCATACATTTTATAATCCAATAAAATTAAATTTATATTAAACATAAAAATTATGTTTCAATATATTTTTCTAGTTCTTATTGTTTTGTATTCAATTGTGGGTGTTTTTATGATTAAGTAATTCATTAAAGGACTGTATAAATATGGACCAATGTAAATAAATTTCAATTAATATTGAAACTCAGTCAGTGGTTCATCAAAAGAAAATATGTTTAAATATTTGTTATTTTTCGTATTAATTTCTGTTGCTTTTGCTCAGTTTACATATTTGTCCGACGATGAAGAGTTTGCGCTTTTTAAGGTGAGTTTAGATTTTTAATTAATATTTTAAATTTTATTGTACTTGTTTTATATATTTTACTTTTATACAACCTAACAGATTTAACATATGTAATGGCGAATTAATAATTTTTAATGACAGAATTACAAAACAGAACACTTAAATCCCATCTCCAACTAGATAATTTAATTCAGATTTTATTTGGACACTAACTAAATTTGATAATTCAATCAAAGAAAAATTAACATGAGCGAGGATTACCTGTTAGTTCTGATACCTTTCTAAAGATTTTCTTACATTATAAACAATTTACTTATTAAATATATCTGGTAAGTACAAGAGTTTGTATCTCTTAGGTCCTCTCACTTCTCTGCTGTTGTCCAGTGTGTTTACCGCACCAGAATTTGAATAAACTTAACCGCTTTAAATTCAAAACACAACACTTTTTTATTTCCTTGCACTCACTGAAAGATCACGATCTACGACTTCGTTAGGGATTTAGTATGTTGCATTAATAATCTGCTAATTTTCAGTGGATCGCAAATTGAAACCTCTGCAGGATTCCAATACTGCATTTGAATGCCAGACCAGAGGTCCAGACGGAAATTACTTTATATACAAATAGTTTATTTTTAGTGGTAGTTTAGATCTTCTTCCAAGTAGCCAGTAGAGTTATTTAAATTTTAATCAAAGTTGTTTTCGTGTATTGAAAATATGGTTTCTCCAAATACGTCGGTATATCGGACTCTGGCATATTTTCGTTTAGGTGCTGATGAGGGTGACAGTCTATCACCGAAAATTTCACATTTAGAATTAAGTTAATCACCAAAAGGGCTTACACCATCTTTAGCCAATCCTTCACCTGACGCTTTCCTGAATGTTACAAACGAAAGTTACCTGCTAAAGAAGTGTATTCTTAACGTCTTTATATATACTATTATTAATATTATCCGTATATATCCGAGTTAATATTTATCCGTATTTTTTAATATTTTTAGAAAAAATTCG